ACACGTGGAGTTTGTGTATTTTTCGAGTACTGTTGCTATTGATATGGTGAGAATGAAATTCTCAAATCTTTTCTGTCGCCACTGTTGTGGGACTGGCAAGGTATTGCGGTTTTTCGACGTGAATGCGTTTCTAGAATTCTTTGTCGACCCAGATGTGGGATTGGTAAGGTATTTAGGTTTCGCCGTGAGTGCGTTTCTAGAATCCTCGTCGCCACTGATGTGGGTGCCAAAGTTGGGACCACAGAAGGAAAACACGGAACACAGATTAGATGTAAGAAGGATATATTAACAACAGGTTACAGAGATAGTGTAAGCGGAGCTTACTATATGTTAGTGTCCAATACTGGTAGTCGAACTAGACTCTCTCTGTCTCTCTCTGTCACTCTCTAGAGTGTTATGTCGCCTACTTAATATAGGTCTGGAAGAGTCTATTGTGTAGGTAGTTTCCGGTCTCACAATACTATGTTACAGTGGTGAAAAAATGACTGAAGTCAAGATGCTAGGTCAGGACCAATAACATTGCAGATTCTTCTCTGGATTTCACCAAGAATCTCTAAATATATTGCAGAAGCACCAAACCAGATGTGGTAGCAATATTCAATGCATGGATGAAAGATATACTTATAAAGGTCTAAGACAGATTCTGGCAAGAAAAATTGTCTAGAACAACACAGTGAACCAACTTTACTAGCAGCAGACTTAGCAATTGATTCAATATAATCATTCGACTTTGTGTCAGTGGGAAACATTAGATTAAGAAGGCACAATAATTTACTCTCCTGAAGGTTAGTATTAGCTATGCTGATGCAATGTAAAAAAAAGTTCTCTATGAGGATTAAAAAAAGAGCAGTTTCATTTTGGAGGCATTAAAATTAACAAGCCATTTCTTGCCTCAGTTAATAACAGATTGAAGGTCATTTTTGAGATCAGCTGACAATTTGGCATTATTGAACCTATTGGATTTATCATTAGGAAAGGAATAAATAGTTGTGTCATCAGAATAGATACCAAGTTGAGAACTGATGAGATCAGTAAGATCATTGATTAAAATTAGGAATAAATTAGGCCCAAGTATAGAGCCCAGGGAGGGACACTTGCATTAATTTAAAATGATTTGGTAGAGTGGCCATTCAAGACAATTTTCATTTTGCAATTTCTACTGTGATCTGTACATTTTCCTAAAAAAGGAATATATGTAGGTATTGAGCAATATAAAATCAATATTTATATATGCTCCACAATACCACTTCTAACACAATAGAAATATCCAATTTAACAAAATTAGACTTGATTACTGTGAAAATATTTAATTGATTGTCAATCTTTTTTATATGACAGGAAGGAATTTCTATTTAATTCAGGCTCTATATTTTAAAAAATGTATATATATATATATATATATATAATCAATATATATATATATATATATTTATTTTAAATTCTGATCACAACAATTTGCTTTTTCATTTTTATTATTTACTCTGAAAAATCCATAAATAAGTCTCGTCTCTCAGCATTTAAAGCCACAAAAGGGCTAAAGAAATAAGCCAAGAATATTAATGAAATCTGGACAATTTGGAACACAATAGTTGATCATTAATTCCTATCCAATGTCTTAAAATCTGAAAAAGGAAATTGCCTTCAACTATAAATCTCAGACATTTTCTTTTAATTCATTTCAGAACACTGTTCGTTATTTATGGCATCTTTTTAGTTAAAAAAAATTATGCACAAACTCACAAAATGTAGAAAAATATTGCTCAGTTAATTGACATGTTTTGATATATCTATGTCAAAATGTAAAGATAATGTTAAAAGCAATAGTTTTTTTTTTGCACATGATAGTTGTTTTCTCATTTCCAACTATAGCCATTGCTTGATATTGCCCAATTCCAGTTTCACCAGTGCACTTTAAGTTCAATGCCAGGGATCCACACATTCTGCCACATTGTTCTAAACTTTCATCTTTTCCAATTATGGCACTAAGATTTTTTTAGTGATCTAACTTTTAACAAGCAAGCGTCATCACTAGGCTATATATATATATATATATATATATATATGCATCATTAATTGTAGAGCTCTATTTAGTATACAATATACGTACAAAAAGAATATACACTAATATAATAATCAATCTGGTGCTTCAGAAGTTATTTGCAATTAACACTTAACTAATTCAACCTCTTTCCTGCATTTTTTCTAGTTAAAAAAAAAAAAACAAAACAAATGTATTTTGAAAACCACAAAATTTATGCTCCACTTATGCATTATTTAAACTCCATGTTATGAAATAAATAAATTTGTTCAAAAGTTTTGTAAGAAAATGAAAATTTAGGAATAAAATTCACATTTTTTTGATTCTCACTTTTTCCTGCTATTGATAAACTTGAATTGAAGTTTAAGTTTAAAATTTTCAATCAGATTTATATGATAGGTTCTCAGGTAGTGGTTAACTGGGACAGGAAATGGCTTATAAATTTTAATGCCTCCAAAACTAAATTGTTCTCACTTTAACCAGCATAGAGAAACTTTCCTGCCTGTCATCAGCATGGCTGATTCTAGACTCCTGGAAAGCAACACACTGTGCCTTCTTGGCAATCATGTTTTCAACTGACTTGAAGTGGAACTACTACATTGAATCGATAGCTACATCTACTGCAAGGAAAGTTGGGTCATTGTGTCGTACCAGAAGGTTTTACTTGTCAGAGTCAATCTTGCACATTTATAAATCTACCATTCGGCTGTGCATTGAATACTGTTGTCATATCTGGTCTGGTGCTCCTGCTATTCATCTTAAGGTTCTTGACAAAATCCACTGACCTACAATGTTATTGATCCTGACTTGGCATCTTGACTTCAGTCACTGTCTCACCAATGTGATGTGGCTTTCCTCTGTCTTTTCTACAAACATTTTCATGGCAACTGTTCCAACAAGTTTTTTTTCCCTGGTGCTCTGAATTTAAGCATGCTACTAGATTGGCATCTAGGTCCCACCCTTTTATTGTTGAAATAGTTAAATGCAACTACCACTTCTACTCCAACAGTTTCTTTTCTTACACTTCCTACCTGTGGAACTCCCTTCTGTTTACTTGCATCCCTGATAATTAAAATCTTCAAAAATTTAAATGCAACATCAATCTCTGTCTTCTTGAATCCTGTTCACCTTTTATCCTCTCCTCAATCCCCCTCTCAACTCCACTCTCTGTAAGACCCCCCACCCTGCATTCCCACCTTGCTTGGGGTGAAATGATAAAAAAAATCGTGTGATGAATTTGAGGATAAGGTGGCTAGATAAGAATTGATCCATGACGCACTAAAGAAAAACACAACCTAACAGAGAAAAAAAAAAGTACAAATTTATAGATTTTAAAACAAAAGATGAGAAATCTAAGAGATAAAAAATGAGCATAATTTCTCATTGTCAATGTGTTGGTTCAATAAATCAGAGCAGAAAAGAAGCTCCCCCACAAAAAAAGAAAAAGAAAAAAAGATGAATGAAAAGAACAAAATAAATTTTTTATTTCTGATTTTTTTCTTCATCTTCTGTTGCCTTTTATGATAATAATTTTAGTTTAATTATTCTTTTTACACAAAATTCAATTGTAGTTACTTGAAAGAGAATACAAACTTCATTTCAACACTACAAAATCTTGAGTCATTTGTTGAACCAAAGATGTTTTTAGTTTTTAGTCCCCAGTTTTTTCTAACACTCATCTGAAGCCTACTTGTTTTATGGCTGAAGAGCAGACTGTATGAAAATGTTGCAATAAAAGCAATATAAAGATGATGTAAACAAATGACAGAGATGTATAAAATACTTCATGTGAGTATTAAAACAAGTAGAGAAAATAAATTGAGAAATTCTGATAATTGCCATCAATTTGACATGTCAACAGAAGAAGAATATTATATGGAGTAAAAACATTGTTGTCTCATTCAGGCATTTTTCATGATCCAATGATTAATATTTAACAACTAGCAAAAGAAAAAAACTTTCCAGTATTTGCAAAATATAAGGAAATGGAATTCAATCAAATAAAAGTCTGAAACTACATAAGAAATTCTCAAAATAAGTTTTTCCAATGCACTTAGGGTTAGTGTTAATCAATGATGTTTTATAATTAGGATCATAGGTTTTTTTTTCATCTTTTCAATATCAGACCTCTTTGTCCAGCAGTCCCAGTCAGGTCTGATCAGATTCTGTTCCACCTTCCAACAACTGGATACCACTTCATATACCTCCATTTCTACTTTGGTAGATTCATTAGTGGTACTGAATTTGACATCACCACAATCAAATTGACTTAGAAGAATTGATCTATTGACCTTTTTTTCAAAAAAAATCTGGTGAAGGCTCTGGTAAGTCATATTTTGTAATTGTTTTACTGAGTGATTGACCTAATTTTTTTTAAAAAATTCTGTCATTCTTGCCAGCACTAAGGTAAAAAGAAAGTATTAAGTCAAAAAAGAATCTCAAATTTGGAAACAAATTCCTTTACTAAATTTTCTCTTGGCATACAAAATTACACTGAGTGTGAAAATTATGAATTTTTATATTACAAGTCAATGACTAAACTGAATTTAAAAGTTCAAGAGGTTCTGGTCTAAACTGAAATAACTCAGTGGCTTTATTTTGAGGAAATCTTTTCATCTCTCAATAACAAAATGTGTCATTACAGAACAAAATCCTCTAAATCAGTGAGATAAAGTCAGTTTCAAAATAAATAAGAACAGATATAAAATTAGGCTGTATTTTATTGCAAGATGTTTTAATAAGACAAAATCAATCAAGTAAATTAAAAGTTAATTTTTTCTAAGCTCTAAACCAAAGATAATGGTTTACAAATTAAAACTGAACCTCACCTACAAAGCAAGAATTGAATGAAAAATCTGAGGTGGTTGTTATTGTTTTAGGCATCATAGAAGGACAAGTATGCTTCCTAAGATCTTATTGAGGACCTGAAAGAAAAAAGCAAAAAAAAGCTCAAAATGCTTACCTGATATGAAGGCATATTTTGTCTGCAGAACTTCTGCCACACCCAACACACTGAGAGGACAATCGAGATCCATCTCACCCATTACATAGCCTACAGAAGAAACAAACAATACAATCATGATATGAAGACATATTTTGTCTGCAGAACTTCTGCCACATCCAACACACTGAGAGGACAATCGAAGTCCATCTCACCCCATTACATAGCCTACAAAAAAAAAACAAACAATACAATCATGATATGAAAATAACTAAAAAGAAAATTTTGATGATGACGATGATGGACATATTTTACTAAAATATTTGTAAAATCTAAAATTTCCTTTAAGAAAATATCTATCATTGCAACTGTCATCTGGTAAGAGTCGATTCGTAGTTTGGCTTTGCATGAAGAACAGACACTAAAATGCTGTAGAGAAAGTGAAGAATTATAGAATCAATATATAATTAGAGATTAAGACTACATAAGATAGAATGAAAACTGTAAAAGTAAACAAGAAAAGAAGACCATGATGATGCATGCTAGACTGAAAGTGAAGTGGAGAAAAGAAAAAAAAATGGTTAAGGGGGGTAAATTGGCTGTGATAGATGGTGAAGGAGACAAAGCAAAATCCCTCATCAAGCAAACCAACAGCAATGGATCTTTTTGCTGTAGCAACTAGCAGCTGCTCATTCATTTTTATTGATAGCCATAATCAGAGATGATATCTATAAAACCAAGTAAGGAATGTAGTAGCAGCATAGCAAGGAAGTGGAGAGGGTAGGAAGATATTTAATACTTCTGTTCAGTCAATGCGACCACTGGCCATATTTTTCAGCTTCAATACACTTCCTGCATGTGTAGTAGTGTGGAAAAACTACAACAACTCTACAGTTGGTTTTCTTACTATTATTCAAGAATTCTTTTATATCTCTAAGATTCTGGACCATTTAGGGGACTACTATATTCACTTTTTAATACCATTACAAACAATAAGCTTTCCAAATATAAGAAGTTTGTACTGTGAATAAAATTATATAACACAGTAACAAATGATATTAAATGCTGTAATTTCAGGATAATTGTTTAGTTTTTATTTTGCTTTTATTACTTTCTATCTTAATATAATTCACTTCAACCTAAATTCTAATAAATTGTTTAAAAGGTTTTCAACTAATTCTGTAGCTATCATCAGGAATACTTTTTTGTCTTATTTTTAAAATAGATGGGCTTTTGTTCATTTTAAGGGATTTTAATTTCTATTTGTAAGTTGAAAGGTCAATGCTTTTTTGCTGCTCAGATAGTGTAAAAATAAAAAACTCTACAGAATGAGAGAAAAAAATTCTTTCATTATTTACACTATCTATATTCAGACTGTTGTCCTCATCTTTGTTGTTATCATGTTTCAGCTGTTATGCTTTCTAACCATCCTCAGGTATATATTGCTTAAGGCCAGATCATGTTGAAACACTGGTTTCTGTATGATCTTCACAGTTAAGTAATGTTGAGCATGGTGAGTACCTAGATGGGTGACCACTTGGAAATACCTGGTGCTGTACAATTGGATATGTAGGTGGTGTAATGGATAATGGTTCAGAATTGTTAATCAGAGAGCTGAGTTCTGATTCCTGTTGGGTTTGTTATATTCACTTACATGCAAATACCCTTGGGGAAGATACAAATCTACCTCTTTCCCCCCAGCTATGTGTTAATTAGTGAGACTTGTATCACTGAACTAGTATTATCCACCACCACCCAAATTCTTTCAATTTAAAAATAATTTCTGGCTTTAAATAACCTGCAAATGGTTGATAAGCCATAGAAAATGAATGAATCAATCAGTCAGATATATATTGATCTGGTAACTTACAGGTAATTCTGAACTGAACCCTTTCTCTAATCGCTCCACTGATCTTGTCTAGCGATATAAATCTTGGAGATTAAGAATTAGGAGAAATAGTTTTTGGGTTTCTTACTGTTATTTAAAATCAATCTACTATAAAAAAACAAACAAAGACATTAATTTAATGCCAAACCTAACAGCCATCATTTTTAATTAGCTTCAAAAGAAATTTCACCATTATTACATGAAAAGTCAAACTTTCCTAAGTCGTTTTGCTTTTAAATTTCTCCAACTCACACAATTAGGATCTTGAGTAAAATGAAAAATTAAAACTTTTTTTCTAAAGGGCAGATCTTTGTTATAGGCTCAGTATTCAAATGTAAAATGCTTTAAGCAGTTTTCTTTCTCAAATATGAAAATATTGCAAAGATTTTTCTTTGCTGAAAGAATTGGCATTAGTGAAGCTATCAGCAAAAATACAAATGTGATTAATAATCAACATGAAGAATTTTTGTTTTCTAAAATCAAAATCATTGATTAAAAATGAGTGTGTCTGAGTGAAACAAAAAATATATCTCAATAATATAATTTTAAAAGTTTCATGCTTCTAGCATTCACTTTCTGAGTATATGATGCTTTTTCTATAGCTTTCGTTATAATTGTTTATATTATTGAATATTTCTTATTTTCCCAGAGCATTATTCATAAAGTAAGGAGCCATGAAGCAACCAGAATTTGTAGAGTTTGACAAAAGCAGAAAACAATTTGAGTCTCACATTTTGGATTTTCATGAAACAGCTAATATTATCTTTTGATGTTTCACTTCTTTTCTTTCTACAACCAGAGACAACCATAAACCAAACTTGCTGACCAGAGATCAACATAAATCTTGGTCAACAGATCTGCATACAATTGAAGAGGCCAATTGTGATTATCAATCAATAGAGTGGAAGATACCACTGACCACTTCTTCATCACTTCTGTCCCCAAAAGAAAAAAAACACACACATTTGTATAAATTATTTTCCACTTGATGTGTAAATTTTGTGATGTGAAAGAAACAAGAAAAATGGAAAATCCTTCTCTTCACAAATAAACAACTGGAAACCATTTTCTTGTTTCTATATCAAGTGCAAAGCAATCATAAATAAAATTACATGTAATTCATTTGGTGTTCTTGTTCAAACATATTGTCCAGCAGCAGATTTTGGCGACTGACCAAACAGTTTTACCTCTTTATTTTTTATTACAACACAAAAAGATAACATATTCTCTTGAAATACATACAGCCAATTTAACTGTTGCATGCAAAAGAACTTTATGAAGCAGTTATATACCAACACCCATTGATCACATATATACCACTTCAAAATATCTTGTATCTGACAAGCTTTTTTCCCTGGTGTCCCAATTACATGAATTTAAGCATGCTACTAGATTGGCATTTAGGTCCCACCCTTTTACTGTTTAAATAGCTAAATACAACTACCACTTCTACTCCAACAGTTTCTTTTCTTGCTGTTCCCACCTGTAGAACTCCCTTCCATTTACTTTCTTCCCTGACAACTACAATCTGCAACATCAATCGTCAATCTTCTGACTTCTTGAAACCCATTCATCTTTTGTCCTTTCCTCAATCCTCCTTCTTCTTAGTCTTCTCTTTCATTTTTATTTCCCATAACTCCCTGCGTACTATTGGTATTACCACCTTTCTTGAGATGAAACAATTACTCCCACCCACCTGCCAAAAACAAAAAAAAAACATCTAAATTCTGTTTGCTACCTTCTAAAGATACTGAAACTCTTGCATTAAAATAAATAATTTGGATTTCTACTCAATAGAAATCATTATATAGAATTTTAAATCTTGCTTTCTCAATACAAACAACCAATTTTTCTTGCTCTACATTGTTGAGTACAAAAGAAAACATTAAGCATTATATGACAGACATAATATTCAGATGTACACTTTAAGAAACTATTTTCCTATAATTTCTCAGAACAGCCACATGTTGGAAATTGTTTTTTTCTGGAGTCCTCAATACTTAGATAGAGAGTCAGCACTGACAATAATTCAATCTATCTTTATTGCTAGATAATCAACCATGAAAAAAATGTACAAGTCCAGTTGGGTTTAATTCTGCAGAGAGCAGATTCTAAAAATGTTTAGTGAAAATTAAAAGAGCTAATTTAATACCCAAAACAAAAGCTTTTCTCATGTTATCATATTAAAATATCATATCATCAAAGAAGTGCTATGAAAAAACAAAACAGATAAAACATTATTGGACTATATGATGACTCTTTTCATTTAACAGTAAGGTCAAAGGAAAAGCAGGTTTGCTTTAAAAGGAAAATCAATGAATTCTCAATAAAAAAAACCCAAAAAACAAGTCAATGTGCTGGATTTAGACTTTCCCCATATATATAAAAAAGAAAAAAAAAACTTCACCAATGTTGATGCTGGATAGCCCAATGGTTAATGATTGAGAAATAAACAAATCCGTTTCCAATGCTAATAACAAATATTTTACAAATATGATCAAAATTCCCATAATTACAAAAAAAGTCTTATCTAGCAGATGCATAGGTAATATAAGTCTTATCTAGCAGATGCATAGGTAATATAAGTCTTATCTAGCAGATGCATAGGTAATATAAGTCTTATCTAGCAGATGCATAGGTAATATAAGGGTTAGCAGTTTAGAAAGAGAAATTAGCAAGCTGATTTGGATTTCAGATGAATTTCTTATAGTCACTCAAACACAAATACACTTTGAAAAGCATGAATCCATCTTGCCTCCTTCCCCAAATAGGTTAAATAGTAGGGCAGACTAGGCTCTCTAGCCTTGTTTAACAACTAGTCTAAAGTTGGTGAGTCAATAAAAACACCCATTCCCCAGGAACCTAGGCCACATACAGACCTATGCAAGCTTATAATAAGCAAGTCTTAAGTCATGTGAAATCTGTTGCAGGTGGAGATAGCATCTTCCTCTTTCTTTTACAGATATCAAGCAGACACTTGATTATATTTACACAGATGAACATTATTATCCAAAAGGAAATATTTCTTGAACAGAATCTCATGGAATGTCATATCAATAAAGCAATAAGGGAGTTCATAAATTTGACAAAATAAACCTTATATAAAAAATTATTACAATTTTTTTTCATGATAAAGAACTGATAGCCACTAAAATTGGTATTTTGATGATTATATTTTTTCTTATTAAAAAAATCTGTTGAATAAAACTGACTAAGAAGTTATTAATTGATAAATATTTTCTGATATCTTGGTCTTATAAGAGGAAGGTTCTGAAATATTCTTAGCTCAACCCTCTTACTAAAATTTGACCAAATGTCCAAACATCATCAGTCAGAATTTCTTTTGAAACTCTTTCTTGATGGAAGTGAGGACTTTTCAGTATTCCCTCATTATATATATATATATATATATATATATATATATATAATAGTCTGACAATTGTATTAAAACAAGAAACACTATTGCTATCCAGTATTAATACCTATATATATATATACTGCTTATAAATATAGCATACCTTAAAAAGTATATTTTATCACACACACAAACACACATATATGAAGAAATATAGTTTTAAGGTGTGCTATATTTATGGGATATTGTGCTCAATATCAGAGATAGAGCGTATGTAAATATAAATATAAAAGTGAACATTGAAGTCAATACTCAGAGGCAACAGGCTGTTTCATGCTAAATGCAATTGTCAGGCCACTAATGTTGGATTTTTCCTCAACTATTTATATATATATATATATATATGGGTCAGTGGTGAATTGTGGGTAATCTATTCTGGCAGTTATTTTTGCGGGAGTGGCTTGTTTGATTATTTATTTGTTTGGGTTAATTTATTTTATTTGTTTTTCATTTTGTATTATTTATTCTTTTCAGTTTTTGATGTTTTATTAATGTAGTAAAAAAATTTGGGAGGGGGTGATATGCTTAGGTTGCTTATTTAATAGTTTGTTTTGGTTTGGGAAGATAATTAAAGCTATTTATTCATCCAATGTTTAGATTGCTTGCCATAGTCTATTCTATTATTTTGGCAGGGACACTTTTTAATTTATTTATTTGGAGTGATTATTTTTTACTTGTTTTTGCTTATTTATGCTTATTTTTATTACTTCTAACAGTTATTTTAGCAGGGGCAATTTGTTAATTTGTTCATTTATTTATTTATTTGCATTAATTTTTATTTGATTTTTATTTATTTACTTATTTTTTATTTTGTATATTTCTTTTTAGTCTATTTGGTTGTTGATTTTTGAGTAACGTAGTAATTCTTTTTATCCTTATATAGCAGTTATAGCTATTTTTTCATCCAATTTTTGGATTGGTTATTGTAGTCTATTCTAACAGTTCTTTTGGCAGGATTGGTTGTTAATTTGTTTATTATTATTTACTTTGTTTATTTGGGTTGATTATTTTTACTTGTTTTTTATGTATTTTATTTTTATTTATTCACTTTTGTCTATTCTAACGGGAGTGGTTTATTAATTTGTTTATTATTTGTTTGCATCAATTTATTTTACTCGTTTTTTATATTATTTTCTTTATTTGTATTTATTTATTGTAACAACAGAATAGACTATGGCAAGCAATCTAAACACTGGATGAATAAATAGCTTTAATTATCTTCCCAGACCAAAACAAACTATTAAATAAGTGACCT